AATACTCTTCCATCCAAATGATGGAGAATTTGGTTTTTTTGCCTGTAAAGGATGAATATTCCTGAAATATCTGCATTTTAGCACTCGAGCTACTAAAGAATTCGGATATTGAATTAAACGCCAGTACTGTTTAGCCAACATGGCATCATTAAAAATGTCTAGGGAATGAAAACCTAAGCCTCCATCTTCTTTATCCTTACACATTTTCTCCCATGCTATCCAATGAATCCCACGATCTCGCCCATTGGAACTCCACCAATAATTAGAAATAGCACTTGTTAACTTAGAAGTTAAATCTTGAGGTAGTTTAAAACAAGACATAACATAGGTTGGGAGTGCCAAAGCCACTGATTTGATCATTGTCTCTTTCCCACCTTTCGACAAAAATTTTGCTGACCAGCCATTAATCCGTTCATTAAGTCTTTCCCGGACATAATTAAAGATTTTACTTTTTGAGCCTCCTAAGCTCTCTGGTATACCCAAATATGTACCCATTCCACCTTCCTTAGTTATTCCAAGGATGTTTTTAAGTTGATCTCTTTTTTGGTTTGCTACGCGCTTACCAAACATAATCGATGATTTACTGAGATATATCTCTTGTCCTGAAGCTTTACCATAATTCCCAATAATATCCATCACCGTTTTGCATTGCTCTGAATCCGCTTTACAGAAAAAAAGACTATCATCCGCAAAGAGTAGATGTGAAATTGCTGGGCTTCTTTTCGCTATCTTAATTCTGGTCAGCTTTTTTTCTTTTTCCGCCTTTTTAATATTTGCAATCAGTACCTCCGTACATAAAATAAACAAATAAGGCGATAAAGGATCACCTTGCCGTAAACCTCTGCTAGGAATGATATTTCCTCTAGGTTCCCCATTCAATAAAACCTGGTACGAGACCGAGCTAACACTCCACATGATCCAAGAAACCCAATTAGAGTTGAATCCCAGCCGAATCAAAACCGCCTCTAAAAAGTCCCATTCTATCCTATCATACGCTTTGCTCATATCTGTTTTAATTGCCAAAAAATCAGTTCTACACATTCTATTAGTCCGTAAGCCATGAAACATTTCCTGAGCTAGTAAGATGTTGTCTGTTATAAGTCTCCCTGAAACGAAAGCCGATTGTGTTTCAGAAACTAGCCGAGGTAAAATGTGTTTAAGCCTGAAGCAAAGAATTTTTGAAATTATCTTGTAACTCACATTGCAGAGACTTATTGGCCTAAACTCTGCCATCCTCTGTGGCCTTTCCGTCTTTGGAATTAGACAAATATTTGTTTCATTTATTCTCTTATCGAAAACTCCCGTCCGAAAAAAATCTCTGACCAAACCTACCAAATCTTCCTTTAAAGAATGCCAAAACCTTTGATAAAATAATGCTGTCATACCATCTGGACCTGGAGTCTTTTCTGGATGCATAGAAAATAAAGCTTTCCTAACTTCTGTTTCGGTTACCTCCTTGGTTAGTTCCTTGTTCATACTTTCCGTAATTATTGAAGGCACTTCATTAACCATCTCAGCAATTCCATTCGTATTGGAGACCTTAAAAAGTTCTTTAAAATAATTGGTTGCTATCTCCTCCATCCCTCTTTCTGATTCCTCCCAAACGTCATTAGGTCCATATAGACCTGAAATCTTATTTCTTGCCCTTCGCTTTTTTGTAGATGCATGAAAGTATTTGGTATTTTTATCCCCCACTTTTAACCAAAAATTTCTGCTCTTCTGTTTCCAATAAATTTCCTCTCCATGATAAGCTTCCTTTAATTTGTTTTCGATTCTTTTTATTTCCTCCTGTGGAATCAAATCATCATTCTTTGCTTCTTCTAAAGCCATCTTAAGCGAAGAAATTTTGGCCTGACCGGTGGGAATATTATTTTGTCCTAAAAAACAAATTATGAAAAAAAAACCTGAGTTTATGAGTGTAAATGACAAGAGCTTGTTTTGTGAGGGTTGTTGACAAACGTATTTTCACTTGTGAAAATTTAATGGGTCTAAAATGGGTTTGGGCTTAAAAACCCATCAAATTTCACATTGTTCTTCAAGCAGTGTGAGGAGTCAAAGAAACCAACTCAACACCTTAGATAGGTCTCATTTAGAATCGAAATTAATCAATACAAATCAAATCGAACAATTCCACCGAATTTGATATTTTTAAAAGTTCACATTCACACCTTTAAATAGAAGCTGATGATTCATTGCCTAAGAAAGTGATTACCAGAATATCCCACTCACCTTTTTCTTTGTTTTAAGTTCCGAGAATAGTCTTCAACTATTCTTTTCTTTTTTGGTTTTATGTTATAGGTAGTCTTTAACTATTATTATTAAGTCATGTCTAACTTTTTTTTATTTAAAAAACAATTCAAAATTTGTAGCCTCCGTATATGCCATGTATGATAAACGTAGTCACCGAATCATACGAGTCCCTTGACATAAAAATGCCCAGTTTTACGTAATCCGAGCTAAATTATCCCCTAAACTCTGGTTAATTTTTTTGTTAACTAAAATCAGGTTATTTTCGCTAAAATCAGGTTCTGTAGTTTTTTCTGTACCATGGTGGATTTATAATTCAGCTGATGATTTAAAATTTACTTGATCAGTTTTAAAAATTTAAAGAAAGAAAAAAACAAGACAAGGGAAAAAGTTGAGAATTATTGGTGGTTTCTTTTAGTATGACGCAATACGAATACAATTAACAAATCTATATGTCATCGGGTATGATGAGTTGATGACCTAAACTTCCGAATACACACACACGTGCAAAAACAGAAGTACTTTGTTCAAATTTCAAGAACTTATTAACAGAAAAAAAAAAAACAGAGAATAGCGAAATTGTTATAGATAAGGCAAATTAAAGACCAATCTTTGACTACCCCCATTCGTTGTCATTTGATTAAATGATAAATCATTGATCTGAAAAGAGAGATATAGATAAAACAAAATAAAGAAAGGTAGCATCAAATGGTTAGCACGAAAACTATTGAGTGAAAGAAACCCTAAATCTTTAAGTTCCACTATAGAACTAGATAATGATCATATTATATATTGTGATATAATTGATATCTCCGTCTAATCTTTTGAAATGATATATATCCTCTTACTCACTTCACAATTAATTTTGTTCTTATTGTCTGATGTCATGTATGCTTTATAAAATTTAATCAAAAATTTAATCATTTCAGTGAAGTATTCTAGGCTTAGATTAACATAAAATTTTTTTAAAAAAAATCATTCGTTACATACTACCATCACGTACAAAAGTCTTGCCCTTCAGATCGGCAATATGGATTTATTTATGAAATATCACGACTTCAACTGAAGAAAACTAATAAATAGATAAATATAGACAATAAAAATTACATCAATACGTGATCATTTAAAAAAAAATCTAAATATATGTATGGTGGCATAGCGGTATATATAGGGTCTATAGCTAATTTCAGTTTCGATTATATTATATGCAGACTTCATGTGGATCACTTATTTTTCGGTTAAGATCATCATGTTTTATCTATGGTGGATTTACAGAAAACTGTTAACAAATTTTTTGCTAAGTCCTTAAATTAGTTAGACATTTTGTTGAGACCAAGCTAAAATCGACACTACAAATGTAGATAAATATTAAAGTATATATGGTCCAATTCGTTTATACATTATCCAAGAATGATTTTATCCAAATGGTGGTAACTAGGTGATCAATCAATGGTTATGTTAAATCCGGAATATAGGTGTTCTAAACATGCTCAATTAGTCAATTATATACCGCTTTCCAACTTAAAACAGCATATTCTGAGAACAATACGGATTTTTATACTATAACATCCAATTTCCAAATAAAACAATACTAAACAAAATAAAATTCCGACCATTATAGTTTCTCTCTTTAAAAAAAATATGGAACTAAATGATGAAACTATGAAGTTTTGTAAACCGAATATCAAAAAAAAAAAATACTAGCCTATGAAGTTTTGAAGCAGCTACAGTGAGTTTGTGTATGTTAATGTTTCTGAAAAAAAAATTGAAAATATCTTTAGTCAACATCAACTCGTGTTTTTCTCTTCTAGCTTCCATCGTTATAACGTCTTTTTGACAAATGACAAATTGCGCCTAACTTCTGCGAAAGACACGTGTACACGTGTCGTCATGTTGTAGTTTTGTCCGTATGGAAAACGCTTTCCATGTTGTGTAACCTAAGATACATAATACATTGAACAGTTCCTTTGTCCTCTCAACTTCGCTTTTATTCCGAAGCTCTTTACCTCAACCTACCAACCAATTACACGTGTCCTTCTTTTTACAACATTTGGCACATATACATTTCAAAAAAACCCGTCAACAAAAAACACGTGAAATAAAATATCTCTCCTTTACCAGTTCACAACTTCACATATTTCATGGTCACTGTTCAATCATTTCAAATTGTTCCTCTAGCTGTTCTAAAATTCAGTCCCCTACACGAATATATAGACCACCAAAAATTATATGGACGGTTCGAAGTTGATTAAATCGACCAACATAAAGTCAATAGTGTTTTGTGGTTTAGATGTCTAGTTCTATAGCTATGTTTACATTAAACTTTGTAACTAAAAGATATACTATAAGGTATATCGAAATTAATATTTTTATTTATTTTACATTACTTAAGTAAATAAAAATCAATACTAGATTAATTTCGTTTGGTGCTATATGTTAACTCCAAATGTCTAATTAGCAAATTCCCAAACATTCATTTTTTCATATACCCCAATATTAAACAAATAAACCAGAAACTTATTTTGATTGTAAATACTTCTAAATTTAGCGGAACACTAGAAATAAGGGAATAAATAAACAAATGTTAACAAAAAAAAAAAAAACATTTAAAAAATAGTACGAGGAAGAGCCAAATCTACTCATGTAGGTTCAATGAACTCAAGGGATTGCATAAATCACGACGATCTAACTGACACACGTGTCAGAATTCAAAAGTGCTTATAGATAAACACAAAGTGGGTCCCATATTCAGTACACACGTTAATCAGCGGCGGTGGATTCACCTATACACTGTATCCATATATATAAAAGTAGCACGAGACCCAAACATTATTGTCAAAAATAAGAAAGAAAGAAAAAAAAATGGGTATCCAAGAAACAGACCCGTTAGCCCAGTTGAGTTTACCACCGGGTTTCCGATTTTACCCGACCGATGAAGAGCTTATGGTTCAATATCTATGCAGAAAAGCAGCTGGTTACGATTTCTCTCTTCAGCTCATCGCCGAAATCGATCTTTACAAGTTTGATCCATGGGTTTTACCAAGTAAGTATACTAATTTAAACCCTTTTTTAAAAATATTTATATTTCTTATTATAGATTCATAATTTTCTTGGTGTGTTTTTGTGATTTATAGATAAGGCATTATTTGGAGAAAAGGAATGGTATTTTTTTAGTCCGAGGGATAGAAAATACCCAAACGGGTCAAGACCTAACCGGGTTGCCGGATCGGGTTATTGGAAAGCTACGGGTACGGATAAAATAATATCGACGGAAGGACAAAGAGTTGGTATTAAAAAAGCTTTGGTGTTTTACATCGGAAAAGCTCCTAAAGGAACTAAAACCAATTGGATCATGCATGAGTATCGTCTCATTGAACCCTCTCGTAGTAACGGAAGCACTAAGGTAACAAAGAAAATCTAAACATTAAAACTATATCTTATATTTTCTTGTAGTGTTTTGCATAACGTATAATTAATATTTTTGGTAATTATTTTCAGTTGGATGATTGGGTTCTATGTCGAATATACAAAAAGCAATCAAGTGCACAAAAACAAGTTTACGAAAATGTTATCACGAGTGGTAGAGAATTCAGCAACAATGGTACTTCGTCAACGACATCGTCTTCTTCTCACTTTGAAGACGTTCTTGATTCGTTTCAACATGAGAACGACAACAGGAATTTCCAGTTTTCTAACCCAAACCGGTTCTCCTCGCTCAGACCGGACTTAACCGAACAGAAAACCGGGTTCAACGGTCTTGCGGATACTTCCAACTTCGATTGGGGTAGTTTTGCCGGAAATGTTGAGCATAATAATTACTCGGTACCGGAACTCGGACTGAGTCATGTTGTTCCTAATCTCGAGTACAATTGTAGCTACCTTAAGACGGAGGAGGAAGTCGAGAGCAGTCACGGGTTTAACAATTCGGGCGAGTTGGCTCAAAAGGGTTATGGTGTTGACTCGGTCGGGTTTGGGTATTCGGGGCAAGTTGGTGGGTTCGGGTTTATGTGAAGTACAAATAAGTCGTTAATTTTTGTCCCGTGGCAAATCTTATGTATTTGGATTTTAATTCTTTTGTGTTTAGAGGCAGATTCATAGATTTAAATGTAGTAGATTTGTAATCTATCATGCCTAGAAAATTTGACCAATAGATTTTGTAACTTTTGTTTGTTGTTACTTGTTGTTGATCTTTTGTATTGGTAGAAATTAAGTGAATTGAAATTGCATATTGATATGTTGTTAGTGTGGTAGCTATACATTAATGGTTAATTTTTTTTAAGCTAACCAAATAGAAAAGTTTAATAGTATTTGAAAATGGAGCGATGGGTTAGCTGAACTTAGGTGTGTAACGTGGGCTTGCTTGTTTGACCAGCTTGACAAGAGATTATAGAGAAACAGTTTATACCGTACAAGTTTCAAACACATGTTTATTGCGGATCGACTATATGCGGTAGCATTTGGGTTGTGAATGGTAAGAGTAAAATAGATAGTTACTCGCTTTGTTTCAAAATATAAGATGTTTTAGATATTTTATTTTGTTCATATTATAAAATGTTTTTACCTTAAACATCTTATAATTTGAAAATATAAGGAGTAGTGAATAAGAGAATCAGACAAGAAGATGAAAAAAGTAAAACAAATGCATTTATTGCGCAACAGAATGCAAGTGAAGAGAGCCATATGTAACGAGAGCACGACAAAAATTGAATGAGAATCATGATCAATGTGGTGCGAATAAATTTTTGATTAATTTCTTGAACACGCTTTATTTCACCACCACCGAAAACACGGAATACCCGTTTTCTTAATTTGTACGCCTAAGAAAATCCGACCCAATAATACTTTCTGACATGAATTATGTAAAAGTTTTAGAACATTTCTATCAAAGGGTTTTCAAAAGTTATCTCAACATTAAAATAATGAAATAAAGAGTTAAAAAGTATAAGAAATAACCATTTGATTCAAAAAAAGGCCGAGAATACTTAAAGGAGTTCTAAACCATGCGAAATGCTTTTAGAAATGACCTATCATACTCTTCTAAGAGAAAAAAATGAAAACACATTTTTTGATTTAGAGTGCGCGTTAACACAGTCTCTAGTACACATTAACCACATTGTGAATGAAGGAATGTGGTTTGCTAATCATTCGATATATTTCATCTCCTTCCTTTTTCTGATCCTCCATGACTATCATCGCTTTTCAGAGAGCTTTGACCATCTTCTGAAATACGAAATCTCTCTTTTCTAACATTTACCAAATAATAAATTAGATCTTGGATCGTCTTGACCCAAAACTTAATTTTCATAGGCGGCTTTCCTTAGACCTTTTTGATTGTGTTGATATGGTCGAAGGAACGGATTTTGTCACAAACATCTACATGAGCATAACGCTAACTTGGTTCGTTCTCTAATAGTCAAATAACTTGAGACACATGCATCATAATTAAAAACACACAATAATTGTATATATTTTTGTATTTACAACATAACTAAAATTTTAGATATTCGATTTGTGGAATGTAAAATTCCGATGGCAAAAAAAAAAAAAAAAAATCCGATGGCAAACTACAGTATGATAAGCCAACGGCATAGGTGATACTGTGACAGTGTATTTATTGGCCCATGGGCCAAATGCCCAAAGCAGAATTCAGGTTGGGGCTATAGCAAAATATTAATTTTCTATCTATTTGGTGATTGACTTTTAGTTTTTTAGAATTGGAGCTCAAGAAACTCAAATTATTGGTATAAATTTCTGTTATACCCCTATAAAAATTAAATCGACTCTCAATATTCTTTTCTAGACATTTTTCAAAAAATAAAAATAATATTTTCTAGACTTATAATTTAAAACAGAAGAAAAATCCTTATAAGATTTATAATTTAAAATGAAGGATGTATAAATACAAACAATCATCTAGAAAATGTTATCCAAAAATTAATATAACAACAACAACACACAAAAGGGTTTTGGCTTCAAATACACGAGGGATTTGTATTTATTAATAGATTGTGGCTATACTTCAAAGCAAACACAATTTCTTAAATCATAACAATGACATTTGTGATTAGAATAAAAATACATTTAACCGAGACATAAAAATTTATTTGTTTGGTTTTTGTGGTATTTGCACATGCGTGATCTACGAGTGGTTCGAAAAGCTCACTAATTATAGCTGACAAAGCAGACAATTAAGGAGCGGTCCTTAATCACTTTCCTAAACAAGCTTTAAAACAAGGCTCGATTAGTAAAAGCAACGACTACAAGAATCCATCCATTCTTTTTTTACGGTAAATATTTAATTAACTCTGGACGTAATTACCCCTAACTAGCTATACTGAATACATACGCATGACGTCACAATGTACGTATTAGAAAATTGAATGTTTTTCTGGTAGAATTTAATTTCTAAGGACACATTTTATAAATGTTTGTTTTCTCTGTTACATAATTTCTACGGCATTACAGTACTTATTGTGCTATAGATAATAGATGTCAGAAAATCAGAATGTGAATTGTAGAAAAACTATAGTCTATAAGTATTAACATTAAAACCCAAAAAACAAAAGAAAAACTATAAGTATGTGACATAAAATCGGCTAACGAGAGAGCAAAGAGGGTCATGCAGAAAGAGCTCTACTCAAATCTGTTACAATGAAAATAATACTTTTTAAAATAAAAAAATTGGTTTCACTCGTCATAAACTCCAATTATGATATCTCTTATTTTCTCTTAACTCTTTTTTTTTATAACAATTATCATCTCTTATAAACTGCAATAAGTCATAGAATATGACTTTCTTAAGTACAATTTATAAGTTTTTGTTTTGTAAAATACAATATATAAGTTGACGTTTGCATATATCAATTCTGTCAAGAGTCAAGACAATATATATATAGTTGTAATCATAAATACAAACAAGAAATCAAACATATTTGAAAATAACATACTATACAATAACGTAACAATTAGATATATAAAAATGTATACAATAACACCATTCTTTTGGTGAACTATATATTGACATAAAATATGTTTTCCAGTATTATGACGGCGTTTGGTGAGTCACGTTAGATAAAGTCATATAATTATTTTATATATTGATCGATTATGTGACATATAGCTAGTGACTTTCTAATTATGGAATCAAAGTAAAGCATCACATGTTCAAAGCAACTAAGGTACAAAAAGTTATACTTGACCACATTCTCCGATTAGATCACTGATCACTTGGTTGCTTTTTCTTGCAAAACTTATTGTTATGAGGAAATCTCACCAGGATGACCAAAATCATATTATAAAGTTTGAAGTTAGGTTACTATTATAAATATGAAAGTGTAAAACTGACTTCACCATCATATATGTGTTACTAGAAAATGACCCACGCGATGCGTGGGAATAATTTGAATATATATTATCAAAACATATATCTAAAACTATAGATGCAAGTAAAATAAACAACAAACTAAAACTATAATGCATTACATGAATTTTTTCCAATCATGTCCATTGTAAACAAAATTCCAAGCTAGGAAAACTACTAAATATTGACTTGGGCTGAGTTATCAGCAAATTATTTAAGGGTTCCCCGGTTTCATCCATCATAAACTGAGATATGGAGTTTCATTGTGATCATTTGTAGTGAATTCAAGACTCTCTATATGTATTGCCATCATCATCAGTTTATAGAAAACATGTTGCTTAAATTAGATTTTAGACAAAAGAGGGACGGTAACTGTCTGATGTGCTATAATATAAGGGCACAATGTTAGAAAACTATCATCACTCAGTTTTATAAAAATGCTTGACATTCCAAATTAACTAACATGGTTGTAGATGTGTAGTATATATGGTAATATAAATTTTCATGGTTGAACTATTGGAGTATAAGAAACTTTGATTTTCACGTGATTGAACCTGAAATATTTGTGTCAGAAATTTAGGAGAAGTTGGCTTAGACAGTAAATAAAATTATATAAATTTTTTTATAATCAAATCGAGTTTGATCTTTCTAAGACAGAGTATATAAACGGAAGATATCAAAGGTCTTCATCTATTCCACAAATTATCTATTTTCTTGATTAATTAATTAGTAAAATTAGCATATAACAAAGTAGATGATAATTTGAAAACTTCACGTACCATAAGATTTATATATTTTATTGAGGATTTAGTTTAATCTCGAGACACGTGCGCTTTAACCGAGAAACATTATATCTCATGAGACTAAACAATTAACTTTCGTTTTTGTCTCCAGATCTTGTCTCCAATTGGAAATTCTCTGTTGCATCTAGATCTTGTCCCCGATTTCATCATCTTGCTCTATTATCATGAGTCCCACATCTTGTCCACCAATTGTTCTCATTTAAGAGTTTTGAATTTTATTTAGATCGATTTTTGACCATCTATTTTGGTCCACATATTAGTTGAGCATTATTGTCTTCACCTACCCAGATTATTGAACTTTTTTTTTCTTTATATTGTAGAATAAAAGAAATATCCAGTTGTCCCCGAGTAAATCCAGATCTCTGGCGGGCAAAACTACACCATCTGGCGATGGACAATCAATAGAATTGGATGATAAAAATTATCAATCGATTATATTACTCATTCGATTTGAATTTGTCTCCGATCTAATTCTATTACTCATTCTATCTGAACTTATCCCCGATCTAATTCTATTACTCATTCGATATGAACTTGTACCCGATCTAATTCTATTACTCATTCTATCTGAACTTGTCCCCGATATAATTCTATTACCCATTCGATCTGAACTTGTCCTCGATCTAATTATATTACACATTCGATCTGAATTTGTCCCCGATCTAATTTTATTACTCATTATTACCCATTCGATCTGAACTTGTCTCCGATCTAATTCTAGTACTCATTCGATCTGAACTTGTCCCCAATATAACATATTATTTAAATAAAATTATATGCAATTGTAAACGTGCAACATTTATTGCAGCCTGCTTGCTCTTCTTCCGCCAGTGCCAACTTGTCCCTTTATCTGACAAAGCAGTCTGTCACCATCAAGAGCAATTCGTCCACAAATTCCGATTGTGGTAGATTTTGAATGCCACTTCTCAAAAAGTGGTACATTTTGCAAGATTCTCATATGAGAACATATTTTAAATCCCAAGTAATAATTTGATGAATATGATTTATAAATAATTCATGTAGTAGTTAGTTCACGTAACTCTTAGTCTTTTGAATTAAAA